GACCAAAAAAAAAAAAAAAAAAAAAGGTTGAAAAAGGTTGACCAATCTAAAGATTCCCTTTTATGTGCCATTTTGACATGTGTGCATGTCCTTGTTCTCTACACAGTATACAGAGAGCTGAGAAAGTTCAGAGGACTTTTGTGAATTTCCCAACTCTCTACAAGTTTCTGCAGTTCTAGTGGTAAGAATGCCACAACACCCAGTACCCCAAATCAGTCTCAATACTTTGTTTTTCAGATTTTAGTTGGACATTTTGGGTATGCATTATCATCATTTCCTCTCTATTAAAAATATGCACTCACAGTAGCACCAAAATAAGAGTGCTAGGGCTTTGTTAATGCCATCTCCTAGCTGACCAGACTTTCAACTGAGTGTTGAAGGGTTCACATTTCAAAATACAGCTCTGACCCTCCCACTCCCGCAAACCACCTGGGAGCTGGTCAGAGCACCAAGCTGTTGTTTGCTATTATTGCTTTTCTGCTTCATTTGATAAAGCATGCTTACAAGCAGACCCTCACAGAGTTCTTCTATGAAGGGGATCCACCTACCAGCATCATGCTGATTTCATCTTTCCCCATGCTGTACACAGCCTTTCAGCTGTGCAAAACAAACCTGGGGGAAGATGAGGGGAAGAAAAGCATTAACTACATTTCTCCTCTGTATTTTGCTTTGAGGAAATTCTCAGCCTCATGTTGTTTAAAGTGAATCTAGCTTTAAACAGGGCATGTGTGGGGTGTGGGGGTGGTTTTCTTTTTGCTGACACTGCAAACTGATACTCTGAGTGAATTGTTTAAGGAAAGCAGAGAAGCAGAGAGTCCTTTCTTATGTCCATCACTGCCAAGTGATTTGGCAGATTCCTTCATGAAATGCACTGTGTGATAGGTTGAGAGAGAGCTCGACTGGCCAGTTACCAGCAGAAAAGCTCAACTTAAACACTTTTAAAATCTTATTATGGCCAATTTGTGGTTTTGGCTGAAGAAAGAAAGAGGACGAAAAATAGAGGCAGTTGGGTGTCAGTGAGGGATGGAATATTGAGGTAACTTTCATTACTGTGCCACAGAAAATCCATTGGCTTTGTGCGTTTGTTGGATCCAGCTAAGGCAAACACCCCCACTGGCTAGGTACACCTGCAAAGGTGATTTCATTTGTGTCAGGATTTGTCCAAAGTTAAAACAGCATGAAGAATCTGTTGCCTATGCCTCGATCTCGATGTTGAGACATACTTAAGCAATGGCTAATTTCTCATTGTAGAAAAAAATCTGTTCAGATCCCTCCCAAAGGCCTACCTGTCCTGGATGAGGTAAATCCTTGAAATGTCTGAGCAAAGACATACACAAGTTTTTGCAGATATGGATAGAAACCAGGCCAAAGACTACCTGGGTGTACAGGCAATGGGACAGTGTATGTTGACATGGTAACAACAAAATATTGTGCCATTATTAATAGGGGCATAACTCCGCCAGGTTAACTCTGGACATAAATAAATCCCTATCTGCAGAAGGAGTAAGAAGAGATAATGCCCAGTACAGGAACTGCAAGAGCTAAACACCAACCAAGGCCTATTATTAACCACCATTCAGATGGAGCTGGGGTGGGGAGGGAATAGGAGGCCAATGGTTTTAACAAGGTAAATTCCACATTCTGTAAAAGAAGGGTCTTTAAGTAAATATCAAATGGCAAAATAGGTATTCTTGCTCCTTTTTGGCTCTTAGTTAAGAAAAACCTCTGGTGAAAACAGCTCTTGCCCTTCAGCTGCACAAGAGCTAAGATACCTCTGGTGCAGAGTGACTGGGTGCTCGAGCACCCTGAGGGCAGGGCTGGCTGCTTCTGCGCCAAGGAGCAAGCTGTTTCTTGGAAATGTTTATGCAATTCAGCTGTGCTGCTGCTGGAGCCAGACACTTTAAATAATATTAAAAAAAAAAAAAAAAGAAAACACTCAGCCTCAGATCTCTCTCAGGCCGTTAGTGTATCTCAGTCAGGTTTTGCCTTCCACCAAATACTGTCAAATATCTGTTTTGTTTGGATTTGAAGGGTGGAGGGAGTTGGAGGGTTGCCTTTGCTGCTGTCAGTGCTTCCTAATGATGTTTCTCGCTAGAGAAAATAAGCTTGCTTGTTTGAGAATCCGAATTCCCTGTGGGGCACAGTTAGGGAAACTGAAAATATGGGCAGGAAAATAATGTCTGTTAGGGCAACATATAAACATCCATAAAGCAGAATAGCAAAACACCTACAGAGAATGCTGTAGCTTTGCCAGCAAGCTAATTAAAGTCACTGGCTAAGGAGGGAGCTGTGACAGTTGAAAAGTTAAAATAAAAATAAATCAGAAGTTTAGTCTAGCAATTATAACAGGAAATCACCGACAGAGTCAGGGTTCCTACATTCTTTTCCTGGTTCTGTTTCCGATTTGCTGAGAAAATTAGATAAACCAGATTTTAAAAGTAGCTTCTAATTTGGAAAGCCTCCATTTCTGATGCCCAGCTGTACACACAGGCTAGCATCTTCAGTGCCCCCCTGTGCATTTGTGAGGGCAGAGCATTTCAGGGCACTGGTGTCTCTGAAGTCAACTACCAGGACGTGGAGAAACCCTCAGTTACTGGCCTGCCCAAAGCAGCTCCCTGAAAGCTTCCCATCTGTGAACTGTGGCTGGCGCAGCATATTGCAGAGGGAGTCTGAAGTTTAAATACTCTTTATGGCTGACATAACATATTGCAGTGGGAGTGTTATGTTTAAATACTCTTTGTAAACATTTACAAGACTTCTAAGACACACTCTGTCTCCAAAGTCAATGCTATTACTTTTGGAAATAATGAACTCTGTGACCTGCACGTTTTCTGAAAGGACCGCTGCTTGGTAGAGGCAATGAAGCTGCATTCCCAGGTCTGACTGCAGCAGGAGTTTCAGCAGAGTGTGACTTAGAGAATCAGAAATAGCTTGCTTCTGTTCAATAACATAGCCCCAGTTGAAACTGCAAATAAAGAAATCTGTGATGCCTCAGGAGGAAGGGGAAGGTCTCTCAATCATGAGAGCTCTCTTTATACAGGGTTCCTATTCAATTCCATGAGAATTTCTAAATGAAGAGAGCATGTGGCTCCTTCTTACACTGACTTATGCTACGAGCTCTTCAGAGGCAGAACCAAATAAAGTGTCCAGAATAAGGATGTCTCCATAAATTGATATTTTCCTGCCATACATTCAATTGCAATCTCTCATCCTTATCAAGGGACACCATGGATCAGAGGGTTACACTCTGGGTGCCTGCCAGCACTCAGTTGTGAAAGTCAGAATGTTTCTCATTAAAGCAATCAACCTTTTTTTTCTTCTGTGCAATACTACTACAAATATGTGTGTCCTGGTGTCAGCTTCATCTTTGCAATGAGCCAGAATATTTACAATGGCTTGTCAGACTGAGTGTCATGAAGCAAATTATTAAAGACGTTTGCCTGTTTGTAATGGAGGTCGCTACCGATCTGATATTTTAAAGAATATTGCTGTGCTGAGAAATAAGCATTAAAAAAACCCCAAGAATGTTGTTTACTGACATTACAGGGGAAAAAAAAAAAAAGGCCAGAGTAGGTTTGGGGTCCCCTGCTCTTCCACCCACCACATGTGGGGGAGAGCGCACTCCATGTTCCTTTGCCTCCTGCTCCCACGTGCAGCCCTGGAGGTTACACAGTGTACACCATCTCCATCAGCCACGGGAGCTGAGTCTCAGAGCCTCTGCCAACCACCTGCTTTTGCAGCCCATGTTTTCACATCGAAAGCAATTTGGACCTACGCACTGAGAAATTGTACAAGCTCCCAAAACAAAAACAAGTGCCTTCCCAGCATGATGGGTCATTTAACCTTCATAAACTTTATCCGGGAACCTTAAAGAAAAGCTGCTTTGGCGTGACATAAAAATAAGCGACAGAGAATCCTTTGATAGGTGATCATACTACTCTGCCACGACACAGGCAAAAAAATCTCCCATTAGGCGACAACAAACTAAACATAGTGAATACATGGACAGTATTTCAACAGCTGCTAGAGACTCTGGGAAAATGGCTTCATCTTTACAGCTATCTTAGGACAGCTGTATGCAATACTCTTGTCTTCACAGTAACATATTAATTTATCAGGTACCTTGCTATATTTTGTTAAGTGCAACACACAGTTTTAGTGAGTGAATGTATTTACAAAAAATTAAGCTGGTATTTGCATAAGGTAATTGTCATCTCTGCTAGCTTCCCTAGATAAAAAGGGTTTCTTCAAGGGACATTTAACATTTGGACATCACAACAGCCCATTTGAGAATCCCTTCATGTTTCCTTCAAAAAGTAGAAATCAGTGAAACCATTTCCCAAGAGCAAGAAACCAGACAAATTTAATAAAAGCTAGTGTTTTCACTAATCAAAGTATCTTTCCTTCATACTCAATCCCAGTTTGTGCACTCCCATATGATAATCCACATGTTAATGAATTGCCAATATTTCACTCTTTACAGGCTGTGCAAAGATAGATTATTAAGAATCTTCTTAATGATACGTTTCAGTGGTGAATATACCAGATTTCTTAACTAGAATTTCTAGTTAAGAAATCTGGTATATTCACCTCTGAACTAGATTTTCTAGTTAAGAAGTAGTCCTTTAGTAGTGAGCTACTCCTCCAGATGATATATGTACTACTGGCAATATGTATGCAATAGAGATGATCTTATAATGAAGCCAGTATTAAAATGGAAATGGAAAAAGTGCACAGGCATATTTCTAAACACTATGTTCAATGCCACTAACAAGTATTACAAGTCCTCTTGAACTTTTGAATACTTCTAGCAGAAACAACTCTCAGAACTGTTAAACTCTAGCTTCAATGTGTGAACTCTTTATTAAGGAGATACGAATTTTCTGTCTGCCTCCAGTACCTTTTGCCCAAAGTTTCCTAATAAAAAAACCCTTTTCTTTTGTACTGCCTACCCCTCACTCGTATTTGGTCATTCATTGCTACTTCCCTTTGTTTTGTAGGCTCGTCCAAAAGGAGAAGGCCTGACACCATACCAGGGCAAGAAACGCTGCTTTGGTGAATATAAGTGCCCCAAATGCAAGAGAAAATGGATGAGTGGAAACTCCTGGGCTAACATGGGACAAGAATGTATCAAGTGCCACATTAATGTTTATCCTCACAAACAGGTAGGAGAAGTGCAGACCTGGTGGCAACAGGCTTGGAACTAGGAATGCTCTTGACTTTGTAAAGTGTGGGTAAGGCTTAAACAGAACTTGCCATGGACTACAGCATACCACAAAAAATGGTTTCCCAGATGAGCTGCTTGTCTCAGTCCTGGAAACCTAGAGAGGTGTCAGAGTTGCAATTTGAAGGTTCTTTCAGTAAAAATACCTCAAACCCAAAATCTTTACCTGCTTTTTTATAGAAGCAGACTGTGAGACCTTTTAATCTGAGATAGAGTAAAACAAGTTCAGCAGTAGTAATGGGCCTCCTAGTTCTTCCAATTCTCTTCATATTTACACCAATTTAGGGTTTCATTCCACTGGTGTCAGCAGTTATTTCCTACGTGTACTACTTTTTTTCACCTGTTGGATTTCATCAAGGGGCTATGTCTACTTACAAAGAGCAGTGATAAAAGAGAATACAAAGATGACTGCTGCCTACAAAATTCCTTGGTTAATAACACTAACTTGAGACAATCTCAAAGCTTCCGAAGTCTCATGCTCCTTGCCCCAGTTTAAACAGCTGATCTAAAAAATCCACAATCTAGGCTGAGCAATCAAGTTATTTATCACATGCATGAAACTACAGTCTTGAGGGTGAGAGAAATTACAATTCAAATTACATTGATTTATAACAGAAGTTTATAAATATTTACCTTGTTCTTCTAAATTCTTTCCATCATTTATGTTAACGTTCAAAGAGTCAAGAAATCATTCAAGAGGTATCTAATGGACACTGTACAAGAGGCATTATAGACTTGGATATGTACATTCTGCAATAAAGAAGTTTTGCAAGTCATCCGTTGTCCAGAGTTGCCCCTCATGGCAACTTATCTGCTCAGTAGTACTAAAGCCAGAGACGTGCTGTTGGAAGGGCTGCAGTCTACAGTGCTTCCACAGGCTGTGCTTGCTATGGAGACACATACACGGTGTTTTCCGGGGAATAATCACAGCTTGTGCAGTGCAGATTTCCACAGGTGACCCCCATTGCTGTGTTTCCATGCCATTCCCTAAGGGCACCATAACTCATGGATGTGGAAGAGCTTTGCTCTTCTTGTTTATCCACGTTTTCATGTCCCATCAGTAGGTATTGCAGTTGAGATGTTCAAGACAAGACTGTATTTCTGCTAGGCTTCCTCATATAAATAACTTGCAGCCAGTCACTAGTGCTCTTCCCCAAAATGGGAAATTAGAACCTCAAGCTGAAAGATTTTTACATCCTGGTGACACTGCCTCACCTCCATCTGCTTCTGTTCCTCAGTGTTACCATTATCATCCTTCCTAGTCTTTCATTCTTTTAGAAGTGCTCTGTGTTGCTTCTGATTAAACATAACAGCAATAGCCTGGCAGTAAAGAGAACAGCATCAGTCCATGCACAGAGCCAGCAGGAGAGAGAGCCAACAGGCTGCAGGAGGTCTGTGCTGCTTCTTGACAGAGCCTCCTGTTTGCCAGCCCATATATGGTTTTTGTCCAAGCATTCAGTTCCACGCCAGGCTCTCTAAACATTTATCAACATTTGTGTGTGTTATTCTGCACCATTCTGGAAAATGTGCTCTACCCAGTCACCTATACCCCTCTTATACTAACAACTGTGTTTTGTAAAAGTACAGTGAAAGATGTAATTAAAAGTCCAGTATTTCTAGTTTGAGAGTTATAGCACAAAAAAATATCGTTGTGCACATAGGATAACTTGAATAATTTTTTTTAAACAGCACCGCTACACCACCTTAACATTTTCTGCATATATTTCCTATTTATTCTTTAGGTTTTGATTATTTTGTTGGTACCTACCATAGCAGAGTCATCATTCATGTTTGAGTTCCTATGCACTTCTAAAAGTTTTTAGACATCACTTCCCTCTCAGTGGGTGTCCTCAGCTAATTAAATGCTCCTTCTGCTTTTATTATATGGGATCAGATTATTTTCACTCTCATCTCAATCTTCCATTGGACACCTAAATGAAACTCACTTAGAGAAGATGTTGCCTCTCCCTAGACACCATGCTTCTTTTGTGCCATTTTAACTCCATCAAAAAAAGAAAAAGAAAAAGAAATTGGTGTTGCAGTGAAAGAATAGATACCTCAAAACAGAGGTCACTGCACTATGTGATGCGATCATAGTACAAATAATCCATAAATGGATTGTTTTCTTTGGTTTAACAAAACCCAGATGAACTGGAGAAATCTGACCTCCATTCAAGATCAGACAGTATTTACTTCTAGTGAAATAAATGATTTCTACTTTCAAACAATTTTGTCAATATTTCTCTTCACTGATGTGTTGGAATTCATCATCTCCTTTTTTTACTCCTTGTCCTACCATTTGGTAAACATGTAATTGTAACCTAAGAGAAAAAGACTATCTGGAATATTATTTAAAAAAATAATGGTAATTTTATCAGCAGGTGAAAATCACTGCTGGTTCCTTAAAATTGACCTATCCTTTTGTCAAGTTGCAAAAGCTTCCAAAACTATAAAAACTGTAAATATCTCAGCCCATGTCTAAAACAGCCAGGGGCCACATTTCCCTGGTGAGGGCATATTATAGAAAGTCTCCAATCACCATAGTATATACAGCATAAAAACTCATACCAGGTCAAGCCAACCTCTTCTGTTCCACACCTACTAAGCAGTAGAGGAGACTTTTACAGGGAGGTGTGGATATAGGCAAGACACAAAAACCACCTGCAAGGGTACTTTCCCATCCTCTTGTATGGCCAAGTGAGTATTTCTGCATTCTCTGAGTTTGTCACCAAGCAGATCAACCTTTGTAGAGCCTATTCAATAGCTGAAATCTAACCACATGGGCCACCAAGCCTTGCTATGTCACCCTGAATATTGGAGAGTACGATGCTTGTGCCCAGTTCAGGATTTAAAAAACTGAAATCCTTACTTTAGGATTGCTCAATATTCATTGCAGTGAATTAGGAGTTTGTTCTCAATCGACAGGTCAGCCCTTTTCTCTCATCCTCATCGCCAAAGCAGTTGCTTTCCCAAATCTGTGGACTTCACACTACTGCAGGGTTTGTCCACGTCTCACAAGGGATGGTTTTGTGCCCAAGTACTCCCATGTAACTGGCTCAGGAAATGATACCAAAGCACTGAAGGTAATAATCTCCACTCTGGGTAGCTCTGGGGTAGCCATTCCAGCACATATGCCGGCCCTGTGAATGGCTTGTGCAGCTAGGCTCAAATCTTGATTTCCTATGCTTGCCTTTCATTAGTGGGTCCCTGGAGAAGAGATCAGCCACACTTCCCTGTCACCTGCTCTTTGTTCCTGGAGGCTCATTTCACTTCAGGAAATTATCCCGTGCCAATTCCCCACAAGCAATGTCTCAGTTCAGCCCTATGCTCGTAGTCCACATAGCCTATATCTGTGAGAACGAGCTTTTAATCTCACTGGGGCAGGAAAAGTCTTCTCAGCAATTTCACAGCTGTGTATATACTTTAGAGTGCTCTACAAATACAGCTCTAAATCTCAGCATTTAAGAGAGATGTTGGAGCATGTATTACAAGAAGTAACACACGGGCCAGACAGCAGGGCCGCTGCTGTTCATTCCCCAGCTCATCTACAGAGCAGGGAGTTGGGTGGCTCTCACACCTGAGCTGCAAAACTGCTCCTCATCCCAATCAAGCTTTGAATGCATTTTTGTTTTCATGACTAAATTGTTCCACTTTGTTCCTCCTTTTGCATTTTCACCATGTTCCTCAAGAGGCCAAGCTCCCCATGGGAGTGCTTACAGAAATGCACAGGACATGGGGCAAAAACTGTAAGCCTGTTGAGCTCAAGCCTTACCAAGGACCAAAGAGCTACCCTGACAAACCTGCTCTATGGCAGTTTCTAAAGTAGTTTCCTGGGTAGTTACTTTAGCTACTCTAAACATAAATAGGCATCTCAGATGGGACTTGAACCCATCTCTTATTTTTCCAAGGAATTTGGATTTTGTGGTTGTTTATGTTCCTTCTTACCCTGCTCCAGCAACTAAGCCAATTCTTGTAGTCATTCTCCAGCGTTCTTGGCACTGGAACAGCCCAGATGCCAAGCTCTGAATTCTCATTTTCTTCCCCTGCCTACTATAGCAGCAACATCTGCGCCTGTGGTTACTTCCTGGCTGGCCTCTTATCAAGGCTTCTTCTCCGACTTTGTGGCTGACTCCAGTGCTGTTTGTGATGACAGCTGTTGCACTGGTGCAGAACCAGCCATCTGGTGACCGACTTGTCCTCTTGGACACTATTTTCTTCCAGCTGTCAGGAATTTACTGTTGGCCTGGAAATAATTTGGTATGTAAATACATACTTCATGATATCCAAGTTATTACTTCCATGGGCAATTCAGTGGTCCCATCACAATTCCCTTATCTGACTGCAACCACAGCCACCTGTCTTCCCTCAGTATGGGGAGAAGGTGAGTATAATCACTCAAGCCCAATAAACTTTTCAACAGTTTCAGGCCCACAAGTGTGCTCTTTTGGTCCTTTACATTTAATAAACCCTCCCCAGTATGCCCATACTTGTGTACTCCAGCAATGGCAATGCAGTTCACCCCAGATTGCTGCTTTTCTGAACTCTAAAGAGATTTTCACCATTTAGCTCATGCTGTTATCAGTCATTCCTAGCTGGCCAGTCCCAGAGGCATGCTGCTGACAGAGGCTGCTTGCTCTCCCTGAGCATCGTTCCTCTGGTCTGCAGCCTCCTTACCACTGCCTCCCAGACCCACAGTGACAGCCAAGAGCCTTGTTAATGTCCCTCTTCCCCCAGGCAGATAGAAAAACAGAATCTGTTGCTCAAGAATGCATGTTGCATTTAATCTTTTTTTCCTCAGTGCATATTTTTTTATTGGACTGAAAATTTACAGATTTATAATAGCATGTCTTTTCTAGCCATGGCTCCTTAAGACTGTTGACCTAATAATTATCATGCAAGCTATAGTATAGAATCTCTTTCTAGTCACATCTCTAATCTGACATTTAATCATCCCCTTTGCTCCATTAAGACTCGATGTGAGTAAGTCCAGAAAATTATTTTTAGGTGTTTTCTCTCAGTGAGATTCTAATGTGATCCTTTATCCATCAGTGATGCAATCAAGCTATTCCATTCTATGGCTGAAAAAAAAAAAAAATCAATCTTTAAATACAAACATAAGCAGGCACATTATTCCATTCTACTTCATAGTGGAAGCAGTTTTCCTCAAGATATCCTGGTGATGTTTTCTCTGATACCTAACACTTCATAAAGGTGAACTTTTTGTTTTGAGGGGTTTAGATTTTAACTGACTTTTGGGAAATGCAGAGTTCATTCAGTACATGTAGAGCGGGACAGCAATAATTCACAATCAAAAGTTAATTTGCAGGTCAGGAATTGCTATATAAATTTAAATTTATTTCAACTTCATTCCCCTGAGGCAATAGCTTTATTCACCACCACCAAATGCTTTCCTGGTGGAGCTGCACAAGATTATTTCCACCCTGCAACTACTAGGAGAAAATTAAAGAAAGATGCAAAAAAGTGAAGAATGTAATAGTGCCATTGTGGATGCTTGCATTTCAAGAAAAAAAAAAATAGAAAGGATGGCAAAAATTGAGCTATTAAACTCTCCTTTTAACAGAAAAAGGCATACCTTTCCCTAGAGAAATATAGCAGGATTTACTGTGGTTTTACAAGCTCCATTTCACCTCTTTCTAAGGAGAGGAATTAACTTTTCAGCCAAATAGCCTGTTCCCTTCTCCACACCCTCTCCAAATGCATGGCTGAGTTCTCAGCAGCAGCACAGAGTTCTTGCAGCCTCCTCAGTCATTGGTATATTCAGGCAATCCCCAAAGGTAATACCAGAGCGTGCTGCAACCCAACCCTGCTGCACCCCTCCTGTGCCAGCATCCTCTGCTCCCACCACAGAGCTGACAACTGTCCAGCCTGTGCCTAGGAAGTTCAGCCTTGACGGACTCACAGCTCTTTGACTAATGCCCTACACTTTTAGCAGGGTGTAAGAAAGGCTCCAAGGGTGTAAGATTATTAATTTTGAGTTCTTCACAATTAGTAACAGAGAGATAGCAGCAGGACAAGAACACTTGCTGCTCAGGGTGATTGAAGAGTTCTTTTTTGCCTCACAAGAAGCCCATAAAGAAAAAATGGCAGATGGAGATAAGCTGGAACTTTATGCAGAAGTTGGATTGAAGTGTTTTTGAGGCACAAACCATGCAAGCACAGTCAGTTTCGAAGCCTCACCAGAAATGTAGTCTGGGCTCTGCACGGCTCTGTTCCTTCCAGCTGGCCCTTGGCAACCTGCTTTCCTGCCTTTGTAACCCCTCTCTCCCCAGCCTCTGTGTCGTAACACACTGGTAACAATAACATTTCTGAAATCAAAATGTTTTGCAGGCCAAAAAGCTGAGCTCAATCAACGCGGGGGGAAAGCAAACCACGGAGAGCTATTGTTTCTGAAAACCATCCAAAAACTCTTGGCGCTTCAAGGCATTCCCAATGTCCTTTGCACTATTTCCAGGAAAAATGATTCCCAAGGCCTTGCATATTAAAAAAAAAAAAAAAAAAAAAAAAAAAAAATCTGGCTTATATCAATAAACATGATAACTGCTGTATTTTTTCTCTTTAATCAGAACACAGCTAGCATGTAGAAGCAATCAGAGCTCAGTCAAATACCCTGTTTTAAGTGTAGCATTTCAAAACTCTCATTCTCTGTTGAGGAGTGTAAATTAACTCCTGGAACTCCTGAACCTGGGCTTTGACTACATTTATGTCATGCAAATTCTTGAAGAAAATTTGTGGGCTGATGTTGGTGGAATAAGTGGTAAATAAGGCAAAAAAGCAGTTTTCCTGACCAAATAAAATTATTTAACTTGCTGTGTTGCGGCAAAAGCAGTACCTGCACCAGCACTTGGTTTGCAAGCCTAGAAACAGGTGTGCTGGTTCTGATCTCAAATCCCACCATGCTGACATCCAGCCAGTCATTCAAAACTCAGTGGGGTTGCAGGAGGAGGTTAAAGGATTTGCATGAGATAAGAAGTCCACCTACGTTCCTGACACAGGAAATCCAATTTGCAATTCAAATGTAAATGGAGTTAGACTCCACATATGTGGCCCAGAATATAGTATCATAGTTTAAAACATTGAGTCAGAAACAAACCATTGGCAATCACCACAGAATCACTGCTATACACTGCTTTTACTATAGTGTTATTGCACAACACTAGCTGTGCCATATAGTAAGTGTTGTACTTATAATCCAATACAATCAAACAAGAATTTACAGACATCCCTTGTTCAGGATAATACAATACAGTTTGTCTCATTTTAGCTATTCAGAGAGCTGAGAAACCCTTCTAGTCACTATTTTATAGCTGTTCTTGCAGTGTTACATAGGAAAAAAAAAAAAAAAAAAAGCTTTAAATGTCCCTGTTCCTATCCACAGTGCCCCAGGTAGGTGGCTTGATGAAGAACTTAAAAATGAAATCTTAGATGATCAGGTGCAATTAAGGAAATAAAGCAAAGTCTTTAGAATTAACAAACATGTTAAGAGATAAGTGGCCCAAATTGTTTAAGTTATATTTACCCACTGCTTGCTCCAAGAATCCTGTTCTGAAGATATAAGCAAGAGTAGTATCCCTGTAAAAACAGTGAGAAGCTTATGGCTAGTTTTCAGATTTCACACCACATGCTGTCTCTACCACAGTCTCATAGAACAGCCACTTCATGGGAAGGCACTGTGTGATGAAAGAGTCTTTTGGGTACATTTCATGAAAGCAGATAAATTATGCATTAGGGAGTTTTGTTTTGGGAGGTTGTTTTTTTTTTTCCAAGCAAACGTTGCACTTTATGAAATTCTATCTCACATTTCTGCTACCTCTCTACCTATTAGACTTTCCAAACATTTAACTTTATTGCAATATTCAACATGGGTATTTTATTTTCAGAAGGACTGTGAAGCCTTTCACATGCCATGGCAAACGACAGTACAAAGATCTACTAACAACAAAACAGTTTAATTTCTTCCAACCGTGTGATTTCACAAATGTTATTAAAAATACATAATCAATCTATTAGGGTCAGGGCAAAGGATTGTGTCACAAGGTTGGATTTTGTTTTGAGTTTGGGGTTTTTTTATTAATAGCTTTGCAGCTGCTCTACTTCAAAAATTTCAGCCTCAAAAGCACATGACCAAGTATTGGGAAAGCCCCATTTAGCTGTGAAGTATCTGTGCATGGATAAGACAGGTTTCTTGATGTAGCAGCTAATTCCAAAGCTGGCATCCCTGATGGCATTGCTAGGTAATGGGATTCCCATGCTTGAGATGTTAAAGCCTTTGGGACATCTCAGTTACTGGAGCTAAGAGAATGAACTCTCTTCTGTTACTGCTTCTATAAATTAGGTCCCCAATTCAGTATTTTCATAATTTGTCTACAACAAAGTTAACACCACCTTTATGAAGAATGACATTAAGTTGTGAGGCCACTCTGAACCAATGTAGAGCTGAAGGGCTCAAAAAACACTCCATCCCTTCAGGAAAGAAATATGGTACCTTTATAATGACTAGGAGAAAGCTCGGTTAAGAGTAAAAAGTAGATTGCACATGCATAATAAGGAGTAACAGTGACAAAACCTTGGATCTAACTTCATTTCCCTCCCTCCACTGCAGAGACCCCTGGAAAAGCCAGACGGGCTGGATGTTTCAGATCAGAGCAAAGAGCATCCTCAGCATCTGTGTGAGAAGTGCAAAGTTTTGGGCTACTACTGCCGCCGTGTGCAATAAACCTTCGAAGTGGCCTCTTCCCATCCCCATCATCCTTAAAGATTCTCTGGCAGCATGCGATCCACAGCAACACAACAAATCAAGATGAAAGCTAAAATAATTGCCAATATTGCCTATCTAATAATATGCCTTACTATTAATAGAATGTAACATTTCTCCTGTGCGTGTGCACACATGCAACAGGTATTTACAGGACTATGATTTGTATACATATATATGTAATTGTATATATATATATGTACACACACATATATAAAGTGTTATTGATGGTGTTCACGACAGAACTATGGTTACAGGTTCTGCTGATTGTTTACACAGACCCTCTATCACAGCCAGGTGAAATGAAGTACTATTCAAGAGGCAAGGTATTAATATTCACAAGGAATATATGTTTTATGTATGGCTTTTGCAGAGGTTCAATAACTGTGGGGCCACTAATTCCAAGCACTCACCCACAACATGAACCTTGTTCTTATTATATGACAAGACAAAGGAAGATGAGACAAGCCACAGCATAAAAGGAGAATTATTGTTTTCCCAGTTTTGGAAAGTCTTAGAATTTTGTGCTGCTGATTTCTTGGACTTTTTCTAGTTGTTACCATCTCTTGGGCAAGGCTTAGGCAAAATCATTTTTGCAGAACATGGCAAAAAAAGTGAATAATTGTTTGAGGGTGTGAGTTTGGTAGAAAGGGAATACCATAATGGGACCCAGAGCATTAGGAAGGATTCCAAGAGGTTTCTGGAGGAGAAAAAATTGGCTTGCTTGTGCAACAGATCCTTCTCTTGTCATATAATCCCTGAAATGGTCCCTATATGTGCATGGCTTGTTCATTAGGCCACAAACACACTAAATTTTCTATGAACAAGGGGATAAGAATACTTAAAATTGTGTCTAAAACCCTTAATTGAAATATTAGCCAAACTTACTATTTATAGTAGTTTTAAAGCCACTTTCTGGAAATATTTTTCTCCTGTTTACTACCATAGACATTTGTTATTATATGAAACTTGTTAGCCATAGGGGTGTTTTGAGGCATGGAAAAACTCTGTATAACCCTCCTTTTTTCTATCTTCCTGAAGCACCTGCCCAGCTGAGGAGAAACGTAGGAATGATATTTTGTTGTCCCATTTTGGGTAGAACTTTGTGCAGGGTCATCCTGCTGCAAAGAAGCATCTCATCAGGGATTGGCAAACATGAACTGAAAGTACCCCGGGACGGCATCCTCTTTGTATGTCTACATAAGAGTACATTGGCAAAAGGACACAGCAAGCAATTCACTTGTAGCATTCAGTAAAAAAGTACAGGGATAATGTTTGTTTGAGATTGGGGGTTCTTTTACATCAACAATTTCTATTTCTATGAAGTTTCCTTTAGAGAGATTGACTTGTGTGAATGATGCTTAGAGAAAATAAATAGTCGAGAAAATACTTTAAATCCTAAATAACTTGATGTGAACTAAATTTGTTCTGAGGACTAATTCTGTATTGCAAAAGACAGAGGGGGGGTTTATGCCAAGTGGTAGCAGGATGTTACCAGTATGTCCAGTCAAGCTCTTATAAAGCAAGTTGAAAACTTATTGCAAGCATTCATATAGGAAATGGGAAACTCTTTAGAAATTTGCTCTAGTGTAAAACTCTGGCCATTTCCCTGCGTTGCTCTAAGCAGGGCAGAATTGCACCCGCTTATTGTGGTGGGAGCAGCTCACACATATCTTACAAATTTATAATTCATGGGTAGGCCAGGCAACCCAGCCCACTGATCATAACATGGAGCAATGGATAAGCATTTTGACTCCTGGCTTCTGACCACAGCTCTTCCATTAGCTCCCTGATTTTGGGCAAGTCACAAGATCGTTCCGGACCTCAGTTTCCCCAACTGCAAAATGGGGATAATAATACTTTAGTATACCTACCTCACAGGAGAGTTGTGAGGTTTACTTAACATCTCTAAGTATTTTGGCATCGCTGGATGCAATGTGCTATGTAATGTTAAAATAGTATTAACTGAATTAATTACTTGGAAACTACTTTTGCCCAGTTGGCAATTCCATCAACTAAAATAGCTGCAAATAATATTATTGAAAGTAACACTAATAAACAGTTCAGTTGCCTCAGTGAAGACATGCAGGTTTAGCATTTTCAAATGCAAACGCATTCTTTTGCACAGAGTCACAAATTACCTTAGAGACAAATTCTCTCAACAAAGATACTAATCTGTCTATACAAATAAGAATAAGAAAATACACAAGCAAATCTAGGGGTGGATTTTCTAAGCTTGACCTCTAGGATTAATCTCAATAGTTTATTTCAAGCATGAGTAATTCTGAAAGAGCAGCATTCTAAACCAGATCTATTTTTTCCTCTTGAGCACTTAATACTACATGAGCAGAAAAAAAAAAAAAAAAATCACCTTGATGATTCACATCCAGCTAAAGGACGTGTAGAGAAACCCCCTTAGATGAACATAAGGGAAAATGTTACCTTTTTCTCCTTGAAACTAAGATGTTGCTATTAAATGTTTTGTTCTGTATTGAAATAGCTTCCATGTTATGATAACCACTAGATCAGTAAAATAGCACAACCCTTGATATAGGGGTATTGATGTATCACACACCACCAGGTTTGACAAAAAGCTGACTAAAAGATACCATTATAAGGAAGTGTTGGTATTTTTGTGACAGTGCCCTGTTAAAAATTTTTTATCCAGATTCAGCACTGCAAGGCAATGCCTTCATTTAGCTTATGGATTTTTAGATTGTACTAAAAATGCACGTGATCTACTTTAACACAATTAATGTCTATAGGTGTAGCATAATAACTCTTAAGAGCATACTTATGAGAGTTCAGTATTTATATCACTGATATGTTCCTAGTCAGAAGACATATGAAGTATTTAAGTAATACTTAGCATATTTGTAATAAAGAGGAGAGCAGATTTTCCCCTTCACTCACTTTGGGGAAAAGTAAAGGAAGAACAGAGTGTGAGGAAGAGCAAAAGCAACACTGCCGTAGTTTGTACTGCCTAAGTCGGAGACCGCAGATCCCTCCCGGAGCGGGATCCAGATGTGATCAGGCCTTGGGCACCTCCCTGCACAGGGCTGAAACCTCTCTCCCTAACCAGCTGGTGCCTGGGAAAGGCAGGAGCACCAAGCTCATGCGAGGGGAACATTCCTCTGTCCCTCCCTGCCTGAGGTTTGCTCGCAGGACTTCAGCACTGGGCCCGGGGCGTTTGCTCCACACTCGAGTCTGTGCAGTTTGTGAGTCACTGGAAAAACACATCTGCATAAGTCATGGATAACTGCTTATGACCATTGGCCTTTAGCTAATGGCACAGAAGGGACATTTCTGAGTTTTTATTTCAAAGGGAAAAAAAAATTGATTACAAAATGTAGATTTCTTCTATTCCCTCCCTCCCTTCCTCCCCCATCAAAGGTACTTCACCTATAGATGTAACTAACTCTTTCCAAAACTTAAAAATTTAGATTTTTGATAGGAAAAAAAAAAAGGAGTTGATTTCCCTTAAATTTTTGTGAATGCTTCCTGATGTTCTCTTTAACTAGCTCTACATTTAGAACATCAGCTAGCAATCCTTGAAGGGATCTGTAGACAGTCTTAGCAAAGGTAAAGCAAACATCAATAAAAAGAGTTTTAAATCAAAACAGGCCGCCCTAAACTGAGTATTGTGTAGGGATGTGCCTGGATTTTTAACCTCAGATGCTTGCTGTTGACAGCTTATCAATCCATCCACCACACACTTTTTTTTAAAATGTCACCCCTTTTTAGAGATTTTTTTTAAACTTTCATTTATTTCTTTACAAAAGAAAAAAAAAAAACAAACAAGCAAAAAACCAAAATGCCAATTTGTTTCATTTGTTGGTCAGAACATTTCACATTGAATTTGTCCTTGGCATTGGCACTGCTCTGGAGAAAAGTACCAGTAATTTGAACTGTGTGTTGTAGATTAGCTGCTTTAACTTAATGAGGCTCCAGTGAAGTTACTACAAATACTTCATTTAATGGTCATGAAGAAAAATACCTGCAGTTTAAAGGATGGTCCCATTTTAGCCAGTTTCTACTGCTGCTACCACAGACATAAAATGATGCCACACAAGCAAAGTTTGGGGCCTTTTTGTCTCAAAGTTGCTTTTTAATGTCAGATAAATACACAAGAGTATATATTATTTCTGAAAATAGGTGTATTTTGAAGTTCCCCATTATATGGGACTTAGTTTTTAAACTAAAAATGTGAAGTTACATGTGTCTGAGAGAAGCCTTATACCTAGAAGTATTATCTACATTTTACCTTTTTGTATAACGTGAAATTTAGATTATACATGGGTTACATACCATGATACTCTAGTTTGGTGTGGTTTTCTTAAAAAAAAAAAAAAAACTTAAAAGATTAAAAGCTAAGAGTTTTTGGAAATGTCAGACTTCCTAGATTAGTGGTCTTTGTCCTGAAGTCACGCAGAAGATTGTTTTTTCCTAGTATGGATTCTAAGAGTTGTCCACTAAACAGTATGACATAAATCATCAACACGTGTTTTTCAAGTTAAGTAGATTGACATCTATTTTCCACTTGCCTTTGCCAACATATTTTTGAACTATCCCCATACAAAAATCATTCTTTCAGATATCACTCCACTCCCGACTGGGCTTCAACCCATATCTCTTTCCAATCTGCAAAACCAGTGCTGTCCATTCAGTTTGTTATATCACTCAAGTGCTCAGAGGGCTGTTTGAGATCTTAGATATAGGGATGATGGATTGTGTTTCTAGGATGAATTTCAAAGGGACAATCGTGTGCAGTTACTAGCTATAGATGATTGATATAAATGTTTACCCCTGTATGAAGTATTTTACAGTTTTACTTGCAGATGTGTATTTATCTTGAGTTATACTTGACATAGAGTTTCTTTCAATTTTTTTTTAATACTATGTGTGTATTTTGGAAACCTTTTTAGATGTTAAAATTTTTGAATGGTTACAAATATTTCTTATAATACTGAATTGTTATCTTATCTGGAAACTCTTTGCAGTAACTTTTTTTGTATATATTTGAGGGCCTTTTTAAAAAAGTATTGTTTGTTTCTTGGGCAAAGTTTTTAAAATTTGGAAGCTTTCAGAAGGGCCTTCCTCTCAACTAGGATACTAACTGAGGTAAGAGTTTTCTTAAATATTTTGCAGTATTTTGCAGAACTAAGGATGTATCCTCAAGAAAATATTTATGGAAATAATTTACTTTTTTTTTTTACAATGCTTTTGTCTGTATAAAGTATGCAACAGAACTACATTAAGAAGGAAATATTGTCTACATAAAATATTATATGAAAGTTGGTACATAATTCTGACAAAAAAACCTTGCAATTCTTTAAGCCATATTGTTTTTGTTATCCTTGGATGAAAATATCAGTATTAAGTAACCAGTATATTATTCAAGTGCTTAGACTTATATGAAAATGCTTATACAGTTTATTTATGTGTATTTGGGGAAGGATTGCTAGAAGAGCTATCACTAGACATGTAGCAAGTGAGGAGCAAATAACAGTAAACTGTCACTTTATGGCCTTGTGAGAGACACAAAAAACAATGAAAGCACCGCAGAGACACAGCTTTCAGAAACTCCGAAGCACAAGTGTTGGGTTTCAAATGGTGGTTCTTTCCTTTCCCATAACCAGAGGGGAAGAAAGTTGGTTGGGACACTGTTTAACTTGACTTTCACAACTCTTTGCAAACTGTGAGCTCAACTATGCAGTATCGGCTACAGCAATAATATCAATCAAAGGGTGTAAGAAGAGAACGATTGAAGTAGATTACTGTAGGAGTTTATGTTTATTTTATTTAGAACTCATAGCAATATAGAATATGCATGTGCACGTATTCGAAGCATTTTACACTTTACATTTCATGTAGTTTGATTATATTATGAAGGATTGAGTTTTTAGTTTGATATTTTACCATGCTAAGATGGGAGGTCTGCCCAACCCTGTACTGGATTCCTGTTTTCTTTAAAAGGTTATTTAGTACAGCACTCACTGCATTGTCTAATAGTGCTAAAACTAACACTATCTTATGAATTTCTTCAGCTTTAAAAAAATTAACCTAATGATTATTACATTTGTTTAGCTGTACCCACTGACCTTGTCAGATTCAGTTGGCAATTTGTGTAATTTCTTTTCCTGTAACTGTTAATAAACTTGTACAGCTAAAACAAACAAACAAAACCAATGGACAAAGGCCTCAGAGGTATCAGTTCTGCTTCAGCAATCAAGATGACAGCTTGCAAATCTGGTGACTGTGTTGCTAAAGAGACTGTAAAACCTCTGTTGTGGATTGTCCATAAAATGGCATTCCGACATGTGCCTTATTTGCTGGATAGTATACAGCTTTCCTCTAGTATTCTAGCATTTTAATGCTGTATTAAAGTACTGCAAAAAAACCCCAGCAAGTGTGGTATGGTTTTCTTGAAAGTCCCTTCCTTCGACATTTTACTACTGGCAGCTGCAGTCTCATGCTTGCAGTGCAAAGCTGCCCCAGCATAACCATGACCCAGACCACGGGGAGAAGAGTTTCTCCACTGCAGGGAGTCCCTGTGCTGCAACAAGCCTGGTCACATCCAGGGTGAGGGCTCTTCCCTGCCAGTGGGACAGCTTGGGTTAATGATGCCAACTCTTAAGTTTTTAGCAGCCTGGTGTTGTCTAGCATTATTCTTAAGGAAGAACCTTCTATAATCAAAGTACACCTGTAGCCTTTAGTTGGATAGGAAAGCTTAGGTGCCAGAAAGTTGCTATAATGAAAAATAACATTCATCATTCTTGGCGAACAGCACAAGTTGGCAAGAACTAGACCTGTTCAATGCTTGCTTATTAGCTCTCCTCACATCACCAATCAAAGTTCAGCGTCAGGCAGTTTTTCTACTGAGACTGCCAATACTGTAGCACTTGGAAGTTAAAATAAGGTTGTCATGAAATTAACATTGGAACTTAGGTATCCTGGCTGTAACATAAGAAATCCCCTTCATTTAAAACAAGCTGAAAATTTTTACTAGACACACCAGCACGCAGTTCTTCTATGCCTCATATTTGCCCACTTGAAGATCATTTACTACACCACTTGTATCACATAGCACACCTGATTTCTGGGAAGACTGGGAAGTCCTCATTCAGTCCACATGAGAGAGCGCAAAAACACATCCACACGTTTGTGCATGGGTATGCGATAGTGAGGGAAGAGGTGGGCAAGGAATTGTACAGTTCTGAAGCCTTGAAAACAGTGGCTATTTCATCAAAAAATCAAAGACATCCCCCAGCTGAGCCCCATGGAAGGAGAAAGCACATATTCAGAGCTAGTTGGTAAATTTTTGTTTGAAAAACAAAACAGAACTGCTTTTCACTACAAAGTTTGTCTCTAGAA